GACAGTCATTGTGGCTGTCGATTATACTGCTATAATTGACAGTCATTGTGGCTGTCGATTATACTGCTATAATTGACAGTCATTGTGGCTATCGATTATACTGCGGTTAAATACCCTTTTTGGTCCCTCTACTATAGAAAAAAGCCCCTTTTTAGTCCTTGTACCGAAAAAATCCCCTTTTTGGTCCTTAAATTTTAAAATCCGACCCCTTTTTAGTCATTCCGTTAAATTTTGTCTGAAGTGGCAAGTTAATTAACGGAAAATTTTATTTTATTTTTTACTTAGATTACGTGGAAAATCCACCTCACAAAAGTTGATGACAGGCCTAACTTTTTTTACATTTAATTACTTATATACCCTTATCTTCTTCTCGATCCTTTCCTTTCTCCGATTTTTTTTTTCTTTTTATTTTTTCTTTTACCTCCAGGCAAACCCAAGGGCTGGGTTCTGAACCCAAGCGCCTGGTTCATCGTGGGTTCCTGGGTTCGTCTCCTCCCATCTTCTTCCCCATCCTTTCCTTTCTCCGGTGATAAAAACTGTCAACAATTTCACCTGCACCTCTCTTCTCTTTAGTGCTTTCCATCTAGACTACGTCTCCTCCCAAGCAACAATTATCATTCCTGCAAAAACAAAATCAACAAAACCCATAGCCTGTCAAAGCTCCGAAACACATTCCAAAACGACCTCTAGTCCACAAACCCCATCTTTCCCACTCTATTGTTCTTGTTAGCTGTATAGAGAAAGTTGCTTCGCATGTCGATTGGCCACTTCAGACTCTTGAAACACCTTTTGCTCAAGAAATACTCATTAATGTCATCGTAGTTCCTCCAAGCAAAATGCGACGCAGTTCTGTTTTGACTATCCTCCACTTCCTTCCTTATCGTTTCGTAAAACAGCATCATTATGTTCTTCAAGAAACCACAATCCCCAGAACTTGAGGGCACAAATGGCATCCCCGTGTAATCGTCGATGCGATTATCCAGAATTTTGTTTAATTCCATCGCCATATGGTTGTATATATAGCAGATGCATTCTGGCATGAAGTGGAGGTTTGCAGATTCTCCCCAAGAACCCACGACGAACCCAAGAGACTAAGTTCGCGATGAACCCAGCTTGTGGGTTCACGACAAACCCAGGCACCTGGGTTCATCGCGAACCTAGGAACCCACGACGAACCCAGAAGCCTGGGTTCGCGATGAATCCAACTGGTGGGTTCGCGACGAACCCATGCGCCTGGGTTCATTGCGAACCCAAGAGCCCACGACAAACCAAAGCGCTTGGGTACGCGACGAACCCAAGCGCTTGGGTTCATCGTGAACCCAGGCGCTTGGGTTCATCGTGAACCCAGGAACCCACAATGAACCCAGGCGCTTGGGTTCAGAACCCAGCTCCTGGGTTTGCCTGGAGGAAAAAGAAAAAAAAAAACGGAGAAAGGAAAGGATGGAGAAGAAGATAAAATGAACCCAGGAACCCACGATGAACCCAGGCGCTTGGGTTCAGAACCCAGCTCCTGGGTTTGCTGGGAGGAAAAAGAAAAGAAAAAAAAAAACCGAAGAAAGGAAAGGATGGAGAAGAAGATAAAAAGAACCCAGGAACCCACGATGAACCTAGGCACTTGGGTTCAGAACCCAGCTCCTGGGTTTGCCTGGAGGTAAAAGAAAAAATAAAAAGAAAAAAAAAACAGGAGAAAGGAAAGGATCGAGAAGAAGATAAGGGTATATTAGTAATTAAACGTAAAAAAAGTTAGGCCTGTCATCGACTTTTGTGAGGTGGATTTTCCACATAATCTAAGTAAAAAATAAAATAAAATTTTTCGTTAATTAACTTGTCACCTCAGACAAAATTTAACGGAATGACTAAAAAGGAACCGGATTTTAAAATTTAAGGACCAAAAAGGGGATTTTTTCGGTATAGGGACTAAAAAGGGGCTTTTTCCTATAGTAGAGGGACCAAAAAGGGTATTTAACAAATGGCTGTCGATTATAGCTAATATATTCGACAGCCACAATGGTTGTCGATTATGTTTTGATTTTTTTAATTTTTTTTATTTTTGTATTTTAATTTTTATATTTAAATTGATATGCTATTTTTTGAACAAATGATTAATTTGATTTATCTAATTCTCTCTTTTTTGTTTTAGGGCCAGTAAGAATAAATTTTTTTGAGATTATAATTGGTTATTGAAATTATATTGAAATAAGGTTATCAAATATATTTCAAATTAAATTAG